GACTTGGCAGAAGCAGCTGTAGGAGGCAATGAAAAGAAGTGTTTTGAACAGCTGCTCTTACAATGTGCTAGTGTGTTCTCTAGGAATAATGAAGAACTTGGCATGTGTGATTGGTTGCAACATCGGATGGTTTTCCTATGGGGTAGGTCCCATGTCATATTCCCCTTCTGTATCGGGTTACAGTGAAAGAGAAGCTAAAATCACATTCTGGAGTATGGCCTGATTGAACAATGTATTCACCATAGGCATCCCCAACTGTAGTTGTAAAAAAAACCTAACGGAAACTGGAGGATATGCAATTGACTATAGGAGTCTTAATTCACAGGCAGTTCACGATACATACCTACTTCCCCACATTGGATAAAATGTCCGGAGCAGAATATTTTAGTAGTTTTGTATTGGTATCTGGATACTATCTAATTAAAGTGGCACTTGAGGATCGAGAAAAAAACTGCCTTTGTGACACCCTGTGGACTGTTTCAATTCTACAGAATGCCTTTCAGACTCATGGATGCACCAAGTATGTTTCAGAGGGTAGTAAATGGCCTAATCCAAGTTTTGAGAACTGAAGACATCCTCACATATTTAGATGACTTCATTTGTTTCCATAAAACATGGGAGGGACATCTGGTAGGAATGTGAAGTATTCTAAAGCTTTTTAAGGAGTCAGGGTTTAAAGTTTCAGGAAACAAATGTTAGTTTGCAAGGAATCTCGTCACCTTCTTCAGGACATATAGTTTATAAAGATGAGTTGGAACCCTAATCCTAGAAATTGAACATTATAAAGGACTAGAAGGCTCCCACAAACCTGGAAGAGGTACAGTGGTTTCTCGGCCTCTGTGGATTCTACAGGAGATTTGTAAAAAAAAATTTGCAGAGCAGGCAGTGCTGTTATACAAATTAATGAAGAGCAAGATTGTCTGGATGGATTAACACCAAAAAGTGTTTGAGTCACTGAATTTAACCATTCTGTGCTTAAATTCACAGATCAATCCTTCCCATTCACGGCAACCTGTGCTGCATCAAAGGTTGCTGTCAGATTTGCATTTGAACAAATTGAGCTTGATTGGCACAGAGTGGGGTCTTTTGGGGATCACAAGTTAAATGAGAGGGAAGCCAAGTATTCAGCTACAGAACTGGAGAGTCTAGTTATTGTGGAGGCACAGAATTCAGTGTAAACAGGCCACAATGCCCTGAAGTGGCTCCTTACAAAGCACAACCCAAAGGATGTCTGTGGAGATGGATTCACAAACTGTCTGAATATACTTTCACAGTTCACCATATATCTGGAAAGCAAATGTGGGTGCAGTTGCTCTCAGCCAGGTTTGGGCAGCGAGAATAAACTCAGCCAGGTCTTGTGAGGATATCTATCAAGAACAATCGAAGGACCCTGAGTTCCTTTCTGTGCACCAACAGATCTACTGAAGGAAACCTAGCCTGTGGAGGGTCAACTCAGTTCAGGAATGATTATCCATTGATCCAGCTACCAACTTGCTGAAATATTATGGTAACAGGATTCTCTTGTCAGCAAGCTTACAGAGAATGGTGCTGGAGTGTCTTCATGCTAACAAAGCATCAGGCTGCCTGGGTTATGAAAAGACATTGAGCTGGTATCAGACAGATTTTTTTGGTTGGGCTTGGCTGCTGATGTGAAGGACTGGGAACTTTCCTGTCTTACCTGTCAAGGAAGGAAAGTGCCGACAAGAAGAGGTAGAACTCCTTTTTGAGGAAGTGCCCCAACCTAGTAAGCTCTGGGAGTTCACACAGATTGACTTGAAACGCCCTCTACCTGAAACACCAGCTGTAAATCAGTATTTGCTGGTAGCACACGACATCTTTTCAAAGTATGTGGTAGCACAACCACGGAAGGAGAAAAGGACTGAGACAGTTAGAGATGCATTGACAAAACCTGGAGGGTCGCAGTTTGGCCCCCGAGGCTGCATTCGCAGTGATCAGGTGAAGGAATTTGAATCATTGGTTGTGGCACAAGGTTTGCCAACAACTCCAGATAACCAAGGTGCGGTCCAGTGTTGCCCACCTGCCAAATAATAAGGAAGTAGAAAGAATAAACTTCACTTTGTTTTATGCTTGGAGTCTCAGTCAGTGGAAAGACCAGCAAGACTGGGATTCAAAGTCACCTGTTGTCACCATTGCATATAACATCAATCAGTACTCAGCTAGCCATTATTCTCCTGATGAGATTATTTTTGGACTCCACAAAACCACGCTTCTCTGTGACTTGATGTGCAGGTGGCAATAACTGCCATGGTCCTCTGCACCTATCCAGGTAGGTAATGTGACTGAGTCATATATCAGGGACCTGAGGACAGCATTCCAGAAGGTGGAGGGACAGATGAGCCAGAAGTGAGCATGCCAAGCACAAAATACCAGGAAAAAGGAAAATAAAATGCCCATCCAGGAAGGAGAGAAGGTATGGCTATGTAACTGTAAAAAGCAACCTGGAACAAAGACCAAACTTACTCCTTTTTGAAGGAGTGATTAAGAAACTAAATCGCTGGCGAATACAAAAACAAGAGCTCACCCCTTTGTAGTGCAACAAGAACTGGTGCACAGATTCATTGAAAGAAAGGTGAGGGCAAACACTAGGGATGTTCAACAGCTATACAAGAGAGATGCAAAAGAGGATTTGGTGGTATTCCAATCCCGAGCAGATGCCTGTGGCTTGTAATGGGAGACTGGTTGTAGAGGATGAATTAGGCTACACAGCCTTGTGAGAGGACGCAGCTATATTGACTCTGGCCGTTAGGCCACACAGCCCTGCGAGAGAGGGTAGCCATATTGACTCTGGCCATCAGGCCACATGATCCTGCGACAGAGGGCAGCCCAATTGACTTGGCCATCAGGCCAAGGCCATCAGAGAGGGCAGCCTGATTGACTCTAGCCATTAGGCTATACCACCCTGAGACGGGCCTGATTAACTCTGGCCACTAGGCTATACCACCCTGAGGCTAATGCTGGTCACGTGGACTTAGCCATAGGGCTATAACACCATTTCCCTGCACCTAAAGGGAGAATGGGGGTGCACTTGTCCCCTGAGAGTGCTAGTTGTTATCTTAGTGTTAAACTGAGATTGTGTACAATATAAATATGTCATGTGGGCTAGAAAAATGCATCACATGGGCTGATTTTTCTTAGAGACTGGAAATTTGACACCCCTGCTGTAGATTTGCTTATAAATCCACTGGGCCAAATTTATCTATGTTATAGCCATGCAACCTGGTTGAATTCAATGGAGTTGCACAGGTGTAGCTGAAAGCAAAATTTGACCCATTGAATTCACTAGAGCTGGACAAATGACCCAGACAATCTGCTTTCTGCTTCCATCTCCCACACTCCTAAGGGAAAATGCCTTGATCCACCCTGTTTGGTGAGCCATTAAACCCTGATTCAGTGAAGTACTGATTTATTGGTCTTTTCCCAGGGAGACTACACAGTGAGCATGATCAGGAGGACTTACTTCCCCTCACTCCCTGTTGTTACTGTCTTTCCTTGTTTGCTGGCTTGCACTGTCCTCGTGGAGCTAATTTTCACAAATTCCAGGCAATTACAATAGATCGATAAATCCACACAAAATAGCAGTCCATTCTCCTGTCTGAGTACAACAGCAAAGAAGACAAACACATTCTAGCAGGTTTTACAGACAACATGATTGGCTTTCACCTACTCTTCCTTTAACACATTTTTTCAGAGCTACAAGAAAGAGATTTTAGTATGTACAGTAAGTTCACAAAGAGCACTTTTCAAGCTACATGTAGGAGAAAAGGAATATTTTTAGCACTAAAATAAAAAGTAGTTAGCCTGAAAAATAAGGACGTCACAGAGAGCTACTCTAGCTTCTGGTTAAAGTCTAGCTTAACAAGGAGTATAAAACCATGACTAAAATATTCATACTCCATCATAGCCCTAAAATGTAATGGAATTGTGAGTTTATTCATCTTTGCTAATGATGCAGAAGGGTGAAAGAAGTCCTAAACAATGAATAATAATGCAGGAACTCAGATTGTAGAATCAATATGTCAGATCAGTAGAGCTAAGCTTCCTTATAATGCCTCTGTTCCAGTGCAATAGAGCTTACCTTCTGAATTATATATGTATTGACATAATTACATAAATATTGACTTTGCTTTCTATAAGGCCTTTTTCAGTCTCAGTGTAATTACAATGTCAATATGTATTGCATGTAATAACATTGAATTTAGACTTGTTAATTTTGACTGATAGTGGCATGCCACAGGTTATTATATAGGATAAGACAGTTAGTCCAGAAGTATGCACACAAAATGGAAAGCAAATGACAATGCTGTTATCGCTGAATGTGTCTCCAGACCCTTCTACTTATGATTATTGAACCAGGTACTGGAGGTGTAATGGATGACTGTAATATCCTTGTTTCATATTCTGGCAGGGAGGAAAAAAACTTCTTATATATGTTCCTAAAGTTCAGAAACATTCAACCAGAAGCTGAATAAGGGTCTGTTTTGTTTACAGTTTGTCTTAGAACGTGACTTTTTGTTGTGATGTCCATTTTTCTCCATGCGAAAATGGAGGCCCTAAAATTCTCCATCAGTTACACCTTCTTTTCATCTAAATTCTGGATTCACACACCTGAAAGTTCTAATAAAATTATTTCCATCTTCTTTCAAATTTAAGATGTGAGTAGTTGACTTCTGGGTACTCCTGGGACTCACAAACTATTCACTTCAGTCTGAGAATATTTGCTCAGCTATAATTTTATAATAACTGCTCTGTCCAGTACTGGTAGGGCTGTAAATTACTTTCAAGGATAAATTGCCATATAGAGTGGCATGTGTTTCTAGATGCAATTACGCAGAGTTTTGAATTTGGCAGTAACATAAAGAATTAGAAACCAAACTGTGACAGTCTGTGTGCTCTGTATATTTAAATTTGTTCTAGCTGTATCATGTTGCCAGTCATGGGAAAGCGTGCATCATCCTGTATTTTCTTATTTGTCTCAGCAGGGATGCCAGACAAGACAAACCTCAGTGACGTAAAGCAAATCCATCAAACAGACGGTGACAGCACTTTAGACACAACTGGAGCAGGATGTACAGGCACGGTTGCTTATATGACATTTACGCTGATTAGTGTGGTAACATTACTTCTCAATCTTTGGTAAATGTGCAGCTCTATCTTGATATAAGCATCTCATTGCAGTCTGTTTGTTCTCCCGCACAAGCCTGGAATAAGAGATTGAATGTAGCCATATTTATGGTAGCCTGATCCTAGGTCGAGATATTGACAAAATTGTTTGCTTGTGTAATATATTTTGTAGGGTTTTTTAACACCTGTATAATTAACCAAAATCATATTTCTTTTTAGAATATTATGTTACAGATATAATACCAGTATGTTGAACTTGCTGAACTCTGAACTACTTTTAAAAAAGAGAAACCCAATTTAACTTCTCAGCATTTTTGTACTTGAAAATTCTGTCTCCTTTCTGTTTACAGAAAAATGTCCCTTACAAGTCTTAAAAACTAGAATTTGTACATTGCATGAGTAAATGGGTGAAATTTTAAGCCTAAACTATTTTCTGTGAAAAATAAAGGTTACACACCACTAAAACACTTTAAGAATTTATGTTAGTTTTGGTCAATTGTTCATGTCTTAAAACAAACAAATGCCAAAAAAGTCAAAATGTTTCATTTTGCCCTTTGCAAAACAAAACATTTAGATTTTTTTCATTCAGACTGACTACCTGTTTTGAAATTTCCTTCAAATTTATTTAAAAAAAAATCAAAATTCAAAATCAAAATGAAATATTTTGTTTTGGGTACAACAAAACGTTTGACCCCAAAATCATTTGCACAGTTCTACTGACAAAAAGAAATACATATTATAAACAGATAAAACTAATTTGCGAGGGGTTTCTTTTAATACATCAGGAAAATTAGATATTATGCAATACTTGTGGGTGTGTAGGTACACATGATTCCATCTTGGCCAGAGATAACAGCAAATTCTCATGCCATATGGAGATGATGGAATCTGGAATGTTGTATAGTACTGAATGTGTATTGTATAGTTCTGTTACCAGTCACTAATTACATGTTCATATTTGATTATGTTAATTGTGACTGATTCATATCCCATTGTATCCAGAATGTCTTCAAAAATATTATCTTGTTTCCTTCCTTTGCAAATATATATATTTAGAACTGTATGCACATACTGTACTTAGAAGTCTTCCTCGTCTGTAAAAATACATTTTATATTAGACTATATATAGAATATAAAGACGGATATAGAAATATTGTGGTTCCTAAATGAATAACATACAGGTAAACAGAAACTGTGTTTAAAAAAACCCAGCCCAACATTGCTAAAAGCAGCTGAATGCCCAGGCGTCATTAGTAGACATACCAGCCTATGTGTACATTTAGTCTGCCTACTGTTCCATCTAGTCCAGCATACTGTCTCTAAGAGTGGCCAGTACCAGATGCTTCAGAGGAAATTGAAAGAAATCCCAGAGTAAGCAGTTCAGAAATAACCTCTCCATAGGGAAAGATTTCTACTAATATCCATTAGTTTAAAGCTGACGTACATCTGGAAGCACTTTTTCTATTCCAAACTGTGGTTGTTGCTGCTCTTTTAATCCTTACTACTGTGACTGGAGCAGGTATAATTTTCAAAAACACCTCAGAAATCCATTTTCAAGTAGTTTGCGCCCTTAGGAAGTTTTGAACATTTTACCCATTGTCCATGTAAACATCCAGCCCTTTTCTGAATCCTGCTAAACTAAGGCCCAGTTATATCTCGTGGTTTTGCAGAGTGGATTTTTTAAAATAATCTTTTTGTATTTAAAAAAACAAACAAGGAGTCTTTGTGACACCTTAGAGACTAACAAATTTATTTGCGCATAAGCTTTCGTGGGCTAGAACCCACTTCACGGCTACCACTCTGAAACCTGTTTTTGTATTTTGTAACTTGTGAAACTTAAACTGAGGATGCTAAAAATACCATCCCTGTAGGTAGATAATCCATATGTTATTATAGCACTGGGTATCAAGACCATTAGACAGTGCATACTGGAGTGTCTCACTACAAGTGAGAAGTTGGTGAGCAGTAGGTGTGAGACAGGTTTATGGAGCAGCTATTTTTAGACGAGAAGAGGATGGTATGGGAAATTGCATTATTTATTTGTATCACAATATACTACAACAACAAAATTTAAATAGATGGACACATTTTACAAAATGTCTGACGGCCTTACTTAGTAAAAGTTCAGCTATTTTTCTTGAACTTTTTTTTAAAAATCACCTTTAAATGGAGTTGCCATTTGAAAGAAAGAATTAAAATGCACTATTTCTCATGCAACAATGTTTTCCTAGCACTTGAATAAATATTTAAGGTGTCATCTTTCCTGAGTGTCATCACTGAAGTTGGTTCGGGTGCATTTACTTCTTTAGGAAGCAGGTAGTGTTGGTGTTTTGCAAATGCCACGTAATAAAAGATGAATCATAACTGCAGCCACATAACAGGTAGCGATAAATATATAATACTCTTTTTTTTCTGAATATGCCAAATTTAATGTTAACAATTCCATAGCACCTCTTTAGAAGTATAGATTAAAAAGTAGAAGAAACAACTCTTGAGAGTTAGATGGTTGCTTTGTTTTATTTTTAAAGTGCAGTTTTACTTTGCAAATCACTATGTAAAAGTATCTTCTTACTCAGCAGATCCTGCACTGTGTGTTCAGAATCATATCTGCTGAAAATGGTAAAAAAAAGTGTTTTACTACTTATATTATACTACTGCTAGAGAGGCAATGTAGCTCTGGAACAAGGAGCTGAGTTCTATTCTTGCTTGCAAATCTTCCACACTTTATTAACATAATTCCAATTACAGACTCTTCATACTGGTGATGCGTGAGCCAAAAAGAGCCCAGCTTGACTTTCAGATCTGATACTGAGTTTGCATGCCTGGCACTGAAACAAAAAAATTTTTTTTTTAAATTTAGAAACAGAACATACTTGATGAGGAAATTGGAAAGAGAGAACATGTAGCACCCGATGAAGCCATTTTTACAAAATCATGTTTCAGAGAACAATCACACCTTAAAGAGTAGATTGCTATAGACAGCTATGCATTGGTAAAAACATTATTTTTAATGTTTAAACTGTATTTTCAAAACACTGAAAGTACTAGTAATATGTGCATAGGTGAAATTCTGCTTTCATTTACATTCATGAAACCCTACTGAAGTCTTTTAATACATTTAACATATCAAGATTATTTCTTGTGACAGTACAGACAATCACAAATTGTATTTATCTACTTCAGAACATTCTATGTGTACCATACAAAAAAATAAAGTTATGACATTTATATTGTCAACCTTAGATTTATTACTCTTAAAGAAAAAACAAACAATTTATTCATTTTTCCATTTCAAAGTGTCCATTTATCTGACTGGCTTTGAGACTTTCAGCATGTCAGCAAATTCACGGCATTTTTTAAAAAATGAATGGAAAGATTTGGAGAGGTGGAAAAGAAGCTAAATCATTAACCAAATATGTATGTAGAGTTACAAATTAATACTTAGTTCAACCAAATATTTGGGAATAAGTTCCTCATTTATTTGCTTGCCAAGGCTTGTCTCAAAAATTCTATGTTTTCCTTAGAACACCTTATAAAAAGAGTAACACCTAAAACAGTGCAGGGTTTGGAGCAGTTATGGGGAATTCTGGACTCGAGCAGTTTAAAAATCTGGCCCTTGTGTACCTTCACTTATACAAGCTCATTCATTAAAGGTGGACCAGATAACTTTTTAAGTTATATAGGCACCTAGTGGGATTTTCACTAGACACTTTTGAAAATCCAACTAGTCACCTATCTGCATCTTTAGATGCCTGAATTCCTTTAAGAATCTGCCCTACAAGGGACCATGCTACAGAATGTGATTAGGTGTATTGGTTGAACATAAATTGCTATCTATTCTGACTTTACATGGGTTAAAGTAACGCGTCAGTATGTCTCATTCAGACATTGGCTAAACCACTATACCACTAATTCAGCTGCAGTGGCAGTGAAGTACTTAAGCAGATTTGTGGATGCTTTTACAGCCCAGAGAACAGACTAAAAGGTGCATGTGGCATGGGAGTTGGTGAGATTGGAACATGTGGTTTTATGAGGGTTAAGTGATTAAGGTTTCTAAAGGGCTTTGATATCTTCAAATAGAGCCTATAGCAGTGAAAATTATTATTAATTATTATTATTATAATAATAATGGTGTTTTCCTCTTTCTCATCTTTTCCTGGCAGATCCTATGAAACAGACACAAAAACACACATTTATACGCTTACTGATTTTTTGCTGCACGGGTTGATAGTGTATAGAATAGGTTCTATATGCTCCTGTGAACTTTATGCACTTTCAAAAGCTGTATAATAACTGTGCCTGAATAGAGTCCATAGGAAATTGAAGCAAATGCACAAGCTGATTAAAAAAACAAACAGATTCTGTCTTGGGAGGAATCAGTTATTCCATAGGATACCCTTTCCTGGACACCTGTTATGCTCAACTTTTCTTCTGTTGTTTCTTACATGTAAAAATGCATATTCCAGTCATGATTGCCTGCATTACAAAAGTCTGACTGACAGTTGGGAAATTGAGACAAAAACCAGTTATTTTCTTAGTGTGCTGCTTTCTCTTCAGTTTGTCTTGGTTTTAGATTATAAATATTATTTTAAAGAAGAACTGCATCTCTTAAGACTTTATGATGATTACATATGGGCAGGTTATAAAGATCAGCTCTTCTGTGATTACAGGCAACACAAATGATTAAATAACTTCATGCATCCCCATCAAATTTCACCTACCCAAATTCCTTCACCTATCTTCTTTCCTCTCATGGTTCTCTACTCTGATGACCACTTTGACCCCCACTGCGAATGGTAGCTATTATATGGGACAGTTCATGGTGTGTACATATCACAATTCATTAATCACAGTGAATGCCTTCTGGGTTGTTTTCCCTACAGGGCAACTCATGCTAACAGTAATGGACCCCACACATGCTTGTATACAGCTAATCCTAGAAGTTTATGGCACTAAGAATCAACCTATGGGTTCTCAGCTGTCACAGACACCATGAAGGGAAGGTAGAGAATAACACCAATCTATGGAAAGAAGAAAGGAGGAGAAGATCCTAGGGGGAGGAAAAGCCCATAAATTCACAGTTTACCCCAGATGTTTAATCTGTGTATATGGGGAAAGTGGGTAAGATGAATCTATAGAAATACACTGCACATAACAAATAGTGGCTTGGCTCTCAAAAGCCCTTTTAATTACAGCTCTGTACCGATCTGGGCTAAGAAACAGAGCCACCCCGTAACAAAGCTGTGTGAGATACTTTCAACAAAACTGGAATTCATGCAAAATTCATCTGCCTTCATGTTTCATTAGACTTGAAACTCAAACCATGTTATTTAAAAGGTTTACTAAGGTTCACAAAGTTGGGCGCTGTTCCTGGGGAGCCTACTGCCTTTTTTGAGCAATGCTGGGTCCTGTTTCAAATTTAATTGGCTGTATTATGGTGTAAAAAGCAAATCATGTGAAATGCTGTGGTTTAGCAGGTGAATCCATCTGACATGCACTAGCTTCATCAGAGGTTTTCTTTGAAGTTTGTGGTTCATTTAATTCACACCCCCAAGGGATCAGAGAAAAATACTTGCATGAACCACTACAAAAATGAAACTGCTGAATTTCAAACAAGTCTACTTAATTTTATCCTGTAGCAGTAAGTTCCACAGATAAATTACACATTGAATAAAAAGGTATTTTCTTGTCTCCATTTAAATTTGGTGGTCTTTTAATTTCACCAGTTGTCTCCTTTGTTCTTGTAGTATGAGAAAAGGTAAACTAGAGAAACTGGCTAGTCATAGGTATATACTTTTTTTAACATATATTCACCTTCCCTAATCCTTTCCATACTAGTGTTTAATCTCATTCCCCATAACCCAGCATGTAGCTCATCCTTTTTATAGACCTTCTCTGGAATTTAAACATTTATTTTAACATAGCATTTGGTGGGTGAATTTGTTACTTTTCCATTATCTCACATAGCAATAGTTAGAGACTAACATCTTCGCTTAGTTCTGTTACAATTGGAATTATAGTGTTTATGAATGTCATTTACACCATCTAACAAAAAGAAATCATGTTCAAGAACTTGTTCAAACAGGCATGAATAGGCATGTGTTAATATGCCAGCAAATGTCACCAATAAACTGTGTGATTCTTTTTGCATTTTGGATTTAGCATTATTTCTTCCCCTTCAGATAACAGAATTTTGGATCAGAGCTGATCAGTGTAAAAAAGTAAGGTTTTGTGGCATAGTGTCAAATGACAGTAAACAAAGCAGAACAAAACACAATAAATCAAAAAAGTTACATAAGTATCTCACAATTTTCTCATTGAATGTTGATGCCCAATGAGCACTCCGTTGATTAAGAAATACGTACATTCAGTGACTGTTTCACACATACCATACTATTCTGTCAAATACTATAGAGATACGTGCAGAGCTACAAGGAACATTAAGTGAGAAAGAACACATGCCATCATGCTGCTTGCTATCTTGTACGCTATCTGGAACATTAAGACCTAGTTTAAAAGCATAAATGTAATTATGTCTCTGAAGCAAACAGAAACATTTCAGCTGTTATTTTCATCCATGACCCTTATAGCACCAAGTGTGCTAGGCACACCTGAACATACTGGTCCACATTCAGTGTTAGCACCTAAACCCACATTACAGCTTGTCTCAACTAGTCCCCAGTATAGCTGCCTCCTGGGACTAGTCATTGGTCTACTGATGGGTAGAAAGATAGGTGACTAAGTACCAAAAAGTTATGTACATAGCTATCCTATGTAACTGCATAGTCTTTTCGCTGTTTCCTTCATCCTCCATTCCCAGTTCCTCCTGTTGTTTCTTACGCTCGCTTATTGCATTGTGGGCTGGTCTGCACTATGGGGAGATCGACACTGCTGCAATCAATGCAGCAGGGATCGATTTATCAGGTCTAGTGAAGACCCGCTAAATCGATGGCAGAGCACTCTCCAGTCGACTCTGGTACTCCAGCTCTCCGAGAAGAGTAAGGGAAGTCGACTAGAGATTCCCATTGACTTAGTGCAGTGAAGACACTGGGGTAAGTCGATCTAACCTACATCGACTCCAGCTATGTTAGTCATGTAGCTGGAGTAGCATAACTTAGGTCAACTTACCCTGGTAGTGAAGACAAGGCCTGTGTTTCAAAATCGATTATACTCTCTTTAGAACATGTCTGTTTCTTCCTATGTGTCCGTATAGGGGCTAGCAAAATGGGAACCTGACCTGGCCTGGGGTCTTGAACCCTACCTCAATAAAATTAACAATGATTCGTTTGAGGGAAGACCACAGAAGTTGGTTGAGGTATCTTAGAAACATTGAAGTTTTGTTTCCCAAAATTAGTTAGGCAGTGATTTCTTTTGATATGTGTTGGTAACTTCCTAACCTTTGCTAGGACAAAAGTTTGCATCACTAATGGTGTTCACAGATGTCATCTGTGTCATACTTGGCAGCATTTATATGCACAACGAAGTGTGTCTTTTATAAATTTTGGTTCTCCTCAAATGCCTGTTCTGTTGCCCTTAGCACATGCCAAAAGCCCCAATAAAGTAGATATTGACCCTGCAGCTTCATGCAGGTGGGTCTGAGGAGCTCCATTTTGTTTTGCCCTGAGCACTAAGCCATTTAAAGACTTAGAGGCAATACATTTAGATATTTCGAGGTATGACTAAACTCTCCCTGGTATCCCCTGCCCCACATATGGGTGTGTTTGTAACCATGGGAATGCTCCTATTTGAATTTCACCATACTTCCTTTTCTCCTTTGAGCTCCCCTATTCCCCAGCTCCAACGGCTAGGCCAAGGAGACACATACTGCACTGAATGCCTACAGCCTACAAACTATAGCCTCTTGAGGGATTGATTTACATGCATGTTACACCACACTTTACACCACAAGTGAATTGGCCTAATGGTACAAAGGGAACTGGCTCACGCAGGGGACTAATAAATGGGATACAAAATGTTTCATCTTTAAGCTGCCTGTGCAACTTCAGCCAGATTAGTAGTGAATGAAAGTCATTACCATATGATGGCTTTTCTTGTTAGACTGTATGAAATGAGACTGTGGTCTTAGTCAAGTGCCTGCCATAACAATTTATACCTTTAGTTGGGAGTTTCAGCAGAGAGGACAAAAATTGAATAAACAGAGGCTAAACTACTCTCACCCCTAGCCATGATTCCTCCCAGAACAGGGTTGCAGTACAATACATTGACAAGGTGATGTCAGGGAACCTGCAGTCCTACTGCTTATGTTGTCTGTTCCATGGCTAGATAGAAGATTTCAGACTCCTGAGGTGACAGTCTGACAAGTTTTACAAGCACTAAATTGATTTATATAAAAATCCCATAAAGCTATCAAATTCTAAAGCAAAATTAAATCTAACTTTCATGAAAGCTAGTAATTATCATTTCTCAAACACAGCTAGCTGATTTCAATAAAATACTCTTGGAGATTTCTGATCTATAGTGCATTGTATTGAAATGGCTTTACATCAAACCCTGATCCTTTGCTACAAGATGTATGTGTGCTGGGTGCTCTCTCAAATTGTGAGGTTAAAAACAAAACTCTTACTTGCTGATCTATCTCTGCCCTTTATTTTTGTTCCCTGCAGGCTATATCTCATTTGTTTCATTCTCAGAGTAGATCTGCACAATATTAAGTATCTCTAAATGAAACTGTAGACTACGAATTCCATTAGCCAGGCCAATCATTGTCTTTGAGGCCTAGCAAATACATGAAAAGATTCCTCTCTTCTTTCTCTTCCAGTCAGATTCAAATAACTAATAGTGAAAAACCTGGGGCTAGCAGAACTCCCATATTGCAGTGCAACCACTGCAGGTCTGCTGTCGGGAGGATCAGTAACTGAGCTATATGAGAGGATTCCAAAACCACCATTTTTAGTGAAGAGGAGAAGCCCTCAGCAGTTGGCTCTGTGATACTGTGCGTGTGTGTGTGTGAAAGAGAAAGAGAGAGAGAAATAACATTGTAGGTGACCTGAGGGAATAGGAGAGGAATTACCAGTGAGTTTAGACATTGCGAAGAGCCACTGGCAAAAATCCCAGAAGTCCACATAGGAGACTATAGCCTTTCAATTGTAGCAGCAGCTGCAAATCAACTGTTCAAATTACCTGCATCCTGCCCCTATAATAGGCAGGAAACATCAGTAACATTAATCCCTGTGCAAAATCCATTTAGCCAGGCTTTCTATGCGGGACCAGGATTTTTCCTAACTGAGTTTAGTGATTAGATAAGATTTGGTCTAAAGAAGTAATCTTGGTTGTCACTCTCTAGAAAGAGATGTTCATAGATTGAAAATACTCAATCCATGTTTCTATGCTGACACTGTGTTTGACTCTGTGGCCCATAGACCCTGACTTCACTGGGTGTTTTTTACTGAAAATAGGCCTCATGTCAGTGCCCAGAATTTATACTGTTTCGTCTGAAATACTTTTATATTTGGTTTTGAATTGAAAGCTTCTGAAATTCTTTTTTGCTAAGTGTTCATTCTACTAGTATATGGAAATTTACATTTATATGAGTGCAGGTTAGATTGGTAAAAGTCCATGCTGGATGAGTGTCTGATTTCAAATTCAGAACACCCTTAGCTACAATTTATATCAATAAAACTCACTGTTGTTCAGCACATTTGAAAATCAGTCTAGAAGTAACTTACTCAAAGTAATAGAGGGGATCAATATCAGCCTCAAGAGTTTCTGGTTTCCAGACCTATGCTCATACCATTGGACTACACATCTCTGTGTAGTGTGAGTTTTAGTTTAATGTTCCCAGGGATAATATCGTATCCAGTCTTCCTCCCACATCAATACCTCATTCAATCCCCCTACCTATCTTATCAGCAAAGCCCTCTCAAATTAACCCCTTTCTCTTAGCCTCTCTCAGAGAAGCCTATGATTGAAAGGAGAGATCCACAGCCAGACTTAAGAAATGTCAAGATAAGTGATAAAATAAGGCTGTCTCTGACTTCTTCCACCTAAGAAGAGAGAAAAGAAAACTCCAAGATCAGAAACAATGGATATTCAAAGTTCAAACCAAAAGTAAAATTAATAAGAATGTATTAAGTTCAATCTCCCCATTGTCTAGTAATGGAAAGCCTCACATTCTAAGATATAAATCCAAAGAGGAAGAAGACAAAGATGATGATGATTAGGAAAAGATATAACTCCCCTAGCTAATCTTCCAGCTCATCTCCATACCCAAAGATGCGTAATTGGTCAAGTGGGAATGAAAGCAGGTGCAGAACAAATCATGCACATCAGGACATTCTCTCCTGAGGAAGGAGATCTCTCAGAATCAGGTCACAGGAAGAATCTCAGCACAAGAATGTCTTTCCTTATCAATTTCTCCAACACTATGTTGAAAGAGGCAACCAGTACACCTGTTATTCTCTCCTAAACAAAAGGAAACATGAGACAAGAATATTCCCAGATAATAATTCCCATGGTGAGGTAAGAAGGAATTCTTCCATCTGATACACTTTGCACTGGAAGAGGTAATTAAAGTACGGTGGGAAAGATCTGGTAAATCTAAGTTGCTAAACAGACAGATATAGAGCTTTTAATGTATCCCTATGTGCAAAAACTACCTGTAGCACTTCTTAAGGTAGCTATTGCAGTAATGTTCCAAGGAAACAGTGACTCCCGCTGATGGGACTTTCTCCCAAAATGTCTACAGAAAGCACAGTGATAGCCTTCATAATGGGCAACTACATATTTTGGCATTGACTCTGGATGTTACAATCTCAGGTTTTTTCTTTCTCAGGAAGCTCTGATCTGGAGGGACAAACTCATGGCAGCCATTCCTTCAAGGAAGAAAGTCTGAAAGGAGACAGATATGACTATGAGCTTATGAGGCTGACCCCCAGGCAAAAGCAGAATAAAGACTTCCATGGGTAGGGAGGAGAAAACTATTCACCAAAACATTAAACAAGCTTCTCAAACCAAAAGAGAGAGGCTGTCCATGCATTCCAGCAAATATCAAAGGGGGGTGTTTTAGGTCATCTACAGAGACATGCATTCCAAGAAGAAACAGACTGGGAGAGGAAAACATTCCCCAGGGCCAACCAGAACCAACCCTCTATAACCACAAGAGTTCTGCATGACTGGCTGGCCCATATTTGAGGTTTAGATTGTTTAA